TGCTTTGCCAGGTGCAGTGCGGTGGGGTGAGGCCCTGTAACAACAGGGCTCGAGACCTTCTCGCCTGGCTGCCGTCACAAGCCAAATGGCCAATGCCAACTGCGCCTCCCCCCAGCCCGATTCTGCACGGGGAATCGGTTTACGTCGCGGAGCCGCGCGAGTGACAGCCCTTGCCACGTTCTCCCAGGTGGCGAGACAGGCAAGGGCAGAGGAATGACACTCGGCTCCGGCATCCACCCTTGGTCCTTGCTGCACTAACATCGCTGAGCCCTTGGCTGCTCCCAGCAGGGGGATGAACCCAGAGGACCCGAGGGAAGGACAACTTGGCAATCCACCACTTCTCCCGGCACTCAGACCCCAATCCCCGCTGGGTTTGAAGCCTCCTCCTAGAAGGAGGTAGGACTGCAGCGGTCGGGAGCTCCCAGACAGTCAACGCTCCTGCCCTGCTCCCCGCTGGGCTACCAGTTCCCCCGGCACTCGGAGATCCTTGGTGCGAAGAGCAGGAACGGGCTCCTCCGGGGCCTACCCGAGCTGCAGGCTCAGCTTGCACCTTGTAAAATATTAACCGAGGAAACGGCGAAGTCAGCTCCGCTCCCGCAAGGACAGGCCCGCGGGCTGGGCGCAGAACGTCGCACACCCAGCGACCGCCGAGTCGCAAGGGCGAAAACGCAGAGGGAGGAAGAAGAATTATTTCAGGATCCAGGACCCAGCACCTCGCATGACCCGACAGGTCAAACAGCAGGTCCGAGAAGGCCCCTTTTGGGCTTAAAAACATCCCTCGCTCCAGTCTGTAGACACCGGGGCGAGCAGAGAGCCAGCCCGCACTCACCGCCGGGGCTGGGGACCGTCCCGCGGGCCGGATCCTGCCCGGCCTCAGTGTGCCCGCCTGCGAAATGGGTCCAAGGGAAGCGGGAGCCGCGGGGCGGGGCCAGGCACTCACCGTACTCGATGCCCCCGGAGAGGAAGAGCAGCGCGATGGCGACGCTGGTCAGCTTCTTCCTCCGCGGGTCGGCCATGCACCCGCCCGGCTCAGCGACCCATCCCGGGCCCGGCCGCGCGGAGCAGGGAGCCCGGGGTCCAGCCCCGGCACACGCATGCGCACACGGGCTGCCAGCATGGAACGCCCTCCTGGAATGGCCCTTCCGCCCCGAGCCTGCACTTCCGCCCCGCACGGATGAGGCACTTCCGGCGCGCCGGCCGGAAGCGGCAGTAGCAGCTCGTGGCGCCGCGGCGGGCGCCGGGCACGGGGGAGCGGGGCTGCCGCTATGGCCGGGATCCTGTTCGAGGACATCTTCGACGTAAAGGACATCGACCCCGAGGGCAAGAAGTTCGACCGCGGTAAGCAGGGCCGGGACAGCCTCCCCCACCCCCCCTTGTTGTACCCAGGCCACGCCCCTTTCATCCCAGGCCCCGCCCCCCCGGGCCCTGACCCCCGCTCTGCCCGCAGTGTCCCGCCTGCACTGCGAGAGCGAGTCCTTCAAGATGGACCTGATCCTGGACGTCAACATCCAGATCTACCCCGTGGACCTGGGTAGGTGGCAGGGCCGGCCGGGCGGGGAAGGGTTCACCCCCCCCAGGCCCGCGCGCGGCCGCACCGGGGTGTCGCGGCGCCCCCCGCCCCGCGCCGGCCCCCCGGGTTGCAGGTGACAAGTTCCGCCTGGTCATCGCCAGCACCTTGTACGAGGACGGGACGCTGGACGACGGCGAGTACAACCCCACGGACGACCGGCCCTCCAGGTAGGGGCGCGGGCGCGGCCGTGTCTGCATCCTGGCTTTGTTTCAACCTCTGCCTCGTGTATTTACGGCGGGTCCCCGCCTGTTCTCGGTCTCCCTCCTCGCCGGGGCTCTGTGTCGAGGGCGCAGATACATCGGTGGCGTATCAGATCGGCACCAATTTTAAAAGGGCGATTAACGTTATCGGTGGTCGGCTTTTTTTGGCCGGCGTAGCCGATAACGTCACCGACTAAATGCCGCGTGCATGCAAGCAGCTGCAGCCTGCGCTCGGCCAGGAGCGTGGCCCGGCACTGTGGAGAGCAGCATCTGGCTGGTGAGTCTGTGGGAGGGAAGGGGTGTGGGGGCAGATCGAGGCCCCCGCGGTGAGGGAGGGCGTGGGGCGGGGCAGGCGCTGCACAGCCGGGGCAGTGAATGGGCCCCCAAGGTGAGTTGCAGGGTGGAGCTGTGTCTGGGGAGGAGGCAGCTCCTCTGCTGTGTGTACTCCTGGGAGAGGTAACCTACCCCAGGGGCCCATTCACCACCCTGGCTAGGCAGCACCTGCCCCTTCCCCAGTCCCACGTCCTCCATCACTGTGGTGGGCCTTGATCTGCCTGCCCACCCCCCACCTCCCTGCCCCCCAGGCTTACAGGCCGGATGCTGCTCTCCAAGTTGCCAGGCTGTATATTGGCTATCAGATTGGTGTTGGCCCACATGGCTGGTTAATAAGTGGCCATCCGTATTAGCCAAAAAAATCCCCTAGCTCCGTGGTGTTGGATGGGAGCCTGTCACCAAATGAAAAAAAGAGGCAGACAACTTCAGCCTGCAACGCTGATCAGCTGCATGAGGGTGGAAGGGTGACTGGGGGCGTTCAGTGTTAGCTGGCAGGGGTTTAGCCTGGAGGGGGTTTGTGTTGGGCAGGAGGGTTGGGTCCAGGGTCATGCCGATTCCTCCAGCCCTGCTGTCTTGCTCTCACAGGGCTGACCAGTTTGAGTATGTGATGTATGGGAAGGTGTACAGGATTGAGGGAGACGAGACATCTACGGAGGCTGCCACGCGACTGTAAGCGTCTCCCCTGTGCTGCTTCCCTGTCGTTCATTGGGAATTTGGTCCTTCCTGGATGCCAAGGGGTGGGGGGTGGTCCATGTCCTGTCTGGGCGCCAGATTGGCAGCTTGGGGGCAGGAACACCTGATTCTGCTAGCAGTCTGTGCTGAGCTGCCCAGTACGCTGGTCTCGTGTGGGACTGCTTCCCTGAGGGGCTGGCTGGAGTCTGCCCTGGCAGCCAGCTCCCTCAGCCCCGTGATGAGCCAGTGCTGCTGCCTCTTAGCTAGGCTTCTAGAGCTTGGGGCTATGGTCAGCCTCCCCCGAGTTCCTACCCTGCTCTCATCCTTCCCCTCCACCCTAGCTCTGCCTACGTGTCCTATGGAGGGCTGCTCATGCGTCTCCAGGGAGATGCCAACAACCTGCATGGCTTCGAAGTGGACTCCAGGGTGTACCTCCTCATGAAGAAACTGGCCTTCTAAGGGGTGAGAGCTGAGGGTCTGCAGGAGGCAGCAGGGACCCTGCCTGACGCAGGCTGTCTGGACAGACATGGACTTGCCAGCAACCTCTCTGATCCGTGCCTCAGGAGTTTGGCTCCTTCGCCCCTCATCTGCGTGGGCCTGAACCCTGCCATGCATTCCAGTCTGAGGCCTGCACTGCTCACATCTCTGCTGGGTTGCCATCCAGGCCAGGAGACTGCTTCTCTGCCGAGCAGGCTGAAACCTCAGCTCATGCCCCAGTCTCTGAAGAACTGCCCTTTGTAGGGGCTGGTCACACGCAGGTGAACTCCTAGGTCCCTGCCTGCAGGTGCCGGTCACTGGAGGACTTGCCTATGGCACATGCTCTCCCCTGGCTCTCCTCAGCCAGCTGGGAGGCTACATCCTTGCCCCTTGGCTCCACTGAAGGCTGCAGTACAGCCTATGCCACCCACTCAGGCAGGCCATGTGCTGTATTGGCGAGGAGGGCAGCAGCTCCTGAGCCTATCCCCTCTGGTTCTCTATTAAACCTGTTTTTTCAGATTTGTCCTGGCTTTTGCCTCCCACAGAATTCCACAAGGTATGAAGTAAGTAAGCAATGGGACAGAGCGCATTGGGGAATGATAGCCATGGCCTGATGAAGGACTGAACCCCTGCAAGCCCTGGGCTGGGGACTCTCAGGCCATGCACTGTTCAGCTCCTGTCCCTGTTGACATGATCAGCTGTGAAATCATTAGCAACCCCTCCGTTTTGCCCAGTGCATTCTCCTTTCCGAGCTCTGGTTCTAGGCTACCTGTGGGCCCTGGCGGGTGCTTCCATGTTGTGTGCACAGGTGGAGACATCACTGCTCTCTCTTCACTATAACAGGCCGGAGGCTCAGTTCTGTCTGAGTGGACTGGAATTGTGCTGTTACCTCCATCAGGGCTTCCCAGTCACAGCAGGAGGGTTTCCAAGGCACCCACTTCCTGAAAGGATGGGATTTGCAGCCCCCAGCTGCAGCAGTCCACTGTTTCAGGGGGCATGAAATGGCCACAGAACTGGCCATGTCGGAGTAGACCTGGCCTTTTCATTTCAGTGTGAGCAGGGCACTTCAGTGAAGGAGCAGCTGAAAGCAAAGCCCTCTGGGAAGGTTTGCTGCATAGATGAGGCCCCCTCAGCTGAAATGCTACGGCCTGAGTGCAGGCCAGGCACAACCTCCCCTCTGCAGCCTTGAGTTCCTTGGCATCAGGTGGAAGATGAATGAATGACACCAAAACTTCAGTGCCAGGGTGTGGAGAATGGGGGAGATGGAGGAGCTGCAGGCAGGGAGCGGGTTATCCTGGGAGTTGGGAAAACCATCTGCCCAAAGAGGAGGAGGGGGTAGCCCAGCTGCACCACCCCAAGGGGCCCCTGCCCTATGCTGCTCTTTAACCAGGCCCTGCTGGCCTCGATCACTCCTGGGCATGACCTGGGAGCCCCTATGGCAGGGATGTGAGCCACACATGGGGAGTAGGGGCTTGTCCTGGGAAAGCACCTGCCTGCCTGCAGCTCCAGCTGCTGCCCCAGGGGGGTGCCAGGTGGCTATCATCAGCCAATGTCCATTCTCAGCCGGGAAGCCCAGCTCCTGGCTGGGGGCAAGATCTACGGAAGGGGGCTGAGGCCCTGGGGATGGCCCTTCTCTCACAAGTCCTCATAACCGGTGGAGCCATCCTGTGTAGGAGCAGAGCCATTTGCCCTGCCCATCACCTCTTGGCAAGTAGGTGGGGAGGCACGGTAGAAAAATAGCTCTTTAATCGGAAAAGGTTTTCACAGTAGAAAGACCCTGACTCCCCTGCCTCCAGTAAACCCTAGGACCTGTCCTTTCTGGCCCAGGCACTGCTCTTCACTCTGCTGTCTGATCCCTGCAGCAGCAAACCAGCAGGCACAGGAGCTGGGTCAGCTGCATCAGACCAGTCTGGCTGCAGGGCTTTTGGCTGTGCACTGGGATGAAGGCATGGTGGGGGGGCACACCCTGCTGCCACTCCTGGTGCCCATGGGAAAATCAAGTCCTTTGGCCTTGCCCATGGGGCCTCACAGTGCCTGCATTGCAGGCCCTGTACTGGCAGGGAAGCAAGCTGCTGTAAGCATGTACTGCCCTGCATCCTGAAGGAGCCCTGAGCCAAGCAGAGCCACGTCTTCCAGCCAGTTGTCTCCTGGGGCCAGGTTCCTTCCAGCCCTGCCCCTTGGTACTGGGCCACCCACCACTGGAGTAGGCTGTCGCACCAGAGGAACCTGCTGCCTGTCGTCCGTGCGAATGTGTGGCTGCAGCAGCCCCCATCTCCAACAGGGCCTCCACCTGCCCTGCCCTGGAGAGCAGGGCCCCGCTCTGCCCATGGTATCTAACCATCAGCATGCAATGTTCTCACCGGCCCGCTGAGGGGCTGGGGGGTCCTGGGGCTTTGCCAGGGCTGCCCTCAGCACATGACTCCCGGGCCAGGTCGTGGAACAGGAACCTCAGCTTGCCCTGCACCAGCTGCCGGTATGCTAGGAATGTGGTGCTGGGGTGGCTCTGGGCCACGGTCCGTGGTGCGCAGCTGGGGCTTCCAGTGCTCACCTGGCACAAGACAGAGCAGAGACTCAATCAGTAGTTCCTGGTGCCCCAGGGCAAACCCCGGGGTCCAGTGACCCTGGAGCCATCCCCTGAGCGGGGGTGGGGTGGGGGTGGGGCTCACCTGCCAGCTGAAAGTCTGCAGCAGCAGGTGGAAGGAGCTGGTTTTGTGGTAGAGCTGCTCTAGCAGGACACCTGCACACTCCAGCCCCGCGTGGCTCTGTGCGGCCGTCACAGCATCTACCAGCATCGCCAGGTCACAGAGGATCTCCTGCCGCTTGGTCTCATTCTGCAGGGGAGAGGGGGGCAGCGTGTGAACCCGGCACTGCAAGGACCAGGCTCGGGCATCTGCCAGAAGGGCCCTGCTCTCTCCAGTGGGCTGGGAGCCAGGGTTGGGCATGCCTGTGGCCAAACCAGCACTTGGGGAAGGCAATACTGTTCAGGGCAGGCGCTGAGAAGCCAGGGTGCAGCTCCAGCTGCGGGGGCTGCATCAACCCTCAGTGCCTGCAGGCACAGGGATGGGTGAGCTGGTGGGGCTGGGAAGAGGGGCTGTACCGCAGGCAGCAGAGGGTCCAAGCCTTGCCCATCTGGCCAGCTCTCCATGTAGGTCCTCACTGGGCTGGGCTGGACTCGCTGGTGGGCCTGAAATGTTGTGGGGGGAGCTCTGCCTACAGAAAGGGCTGCATTTTTTTGTGGGTGGGAGCTGGGGAACAATCCCCCAATACTTTGGGTCCTGGCACTTTCCCAGACGCAGTGCGCCAGGCCTGGGGTTACTCCGTAGAGGCAGGTCAAAGCTCCATGATGGCCTGGTGAGGGACCAGGAACTCCATGGTTGGCTGTGCGCGAAGGCCACGTAGTCCCCCCTGCTGGGGGGGGCACATCCCTCAGCAAGCGCCATATGTACTGGTATCCATTCCCCACCTCCCCTGCCAGGGGCATGCTCCGTGCATGTGTAGGGGCAGCCCCACAGTCCCTGACATGGTGGGGGCACAGATGCCAGCCCCTGCCGACCCCCTGCCACCTCACTCACGGTCTTGACTTTCCACTCGCGGAGGCTGAAGTCCACCAGGGGCAGCAGGACGGGCTTGGGGAGCGGGAGCAGCTCCTGGCACAGGCCCTGTGGGGAGAGCGGGAGCATGAGGCCCCCACTGGAGGCTTGGCCCCAGAGTGGAAAGAGCTGTGCAGGGTGGGGGGTCACCCTGCCCTGTTCCCTCACCACAGTGCCGGGGGTCCCCAGCAAGGGCGGCGGGGGCTGGGGCTGTGGCAGAGCCCCCAGATACCCCGCCCCACCCCTGCCATGAGGGGTGCTGCAGGGATCAGGACAGGAGCCCCAGCCAGGGAAAAGCTTCAGCCCAGGCTGGGCTGGGTCTCACCGCTCTCCTCTCCATGTCCTTGGCCTCAGCAATGTACTTGTGGATAAGGCGGCTGTCGCAGACCAGGCGGGTCGGGCTCATCCTGGACAGCCGGACATGCAGGAGGAAGGCTGTGAGGAGCAGCAGGCCTGCGGGACCAGAAAGGCAAGATGCCACGCACTGGATTTCCTAAAGATCTGGGCAGGGGCAGAGCTCCCCTGGCCCCTACAAGGAGTGGGGTTCCCTGCCCCCCATCACTGATCTCTGTGTGCTGCTAGCCCTGTCCCGGTCGCTCCCTGCTGTGCATCACATGTGCTGCTCTGCCTCGGTGGTGCCAGGCAGCTCCCAGGCTGGCGCAGCCCGTGCCAGCCACGCTGGCTGCATCACGTGCGTGAGAGTTGCCTGCCTCCTCCTGCAGCATAGCCACACGTACGCACCCCCAACCGGGTGCTGCTGGGTGCAGACTGCGCTGGGCTGCAGGAGGAATGGCTATTGGCATGGCCTGCCTGTGGGTGGCAAAGGGGCTGGCACTTCCCATCCCTGCAGACTGAGCATTGGGTCTGGTCCTGCCCCACCAAAGCTGGGGTGACCCCCCATGACCCTGGCTAGCTCTGAGCATGGTCTTCTTCCCAGACCATCACCCTAACACAACCGCTCCATCACATTTTCTTTTCTGTTTTTTAATTTGGTCCCATCTCTCCTAATAATGACCCCTTCTATCATCCCAAATCATTCCTGCCCTTCCTCTACGAGGTCAGGTTTTCCTCACACAGTATACAAGGCATCCTATTGTTCTGTATGTCTAGCCAGAGGAAAATTGGACATTTTGGACTGATAGAAAAACCAAGCCCTTGAGGTTTACAGCAAATGTTTGTGCACTGTCATTCAGCCCCTTGGCTTTTATGTATATCGCCTGACACTGGAGAGTCACTGTGTCAAACTATTCATATACATACATGAATCCAAATCCAGGGTCTGAGCTCTTTTGGTCTTCGCTCACTGCGGTCTCTAATCATTTATGTTACGGTGAACAAATTCCAACCCCTAATTAATATCTCTTCTCCGATACAAAGATCTGAATGCGGGAAGTGGAGTATCTAGTATTGGCCACTGTCTGTTACAGCATCTCTCCCTCCTGCCCGGCCCGGGCTGGGCAAGGCAGCCCTTCTCCCATCTACCTTCTTGCTTCCCCTCCTGCCGCTGCACTTGTCGCGCTGCAGTGGTGGCTGAATCCAAGCTGTTTATTGTGCAAATGTGACCGGCTGACCCACGTCTGCCACCACCGCACCCGGGGAGCTTCGGGAGCGAGTGCTTGAGCACAGAGCTGGGGCTTGTTTCCATGTGCATGAAGGTGGGGTTGATTTTCAGTGAAGGGCGGATAGTTACCACTCTGCCCCCTGCAACCCAGGGTTCACTCAGGGCAGGGGCTGGCCCTGCTCTGGGCAGGAGCCTGTAGTATCCAGGCCATGGGAGTGGTGACGGAGATGGGACAAACCTGGCCTTGGCATTCCCCCTGCAGGGTCCTGTGCTGAGCTCTGCACGCCTGCTCCTGGCTCCAGGGCTCCCGGTTTCCTGGGCTCCAGGCTAACCAGATCCCTGACAGGCAACAAACACCTGGGGGCACCTGGGGCTGCTGCACTCACTGGAGCTGCCTGTGGGAGCCCAAGCCATCCAGGTGCTCCAAGGCAGCTCTGTTTCCCAGCATTTCCTAGCCCCCTGCTGCCTTGCTCCCTCCCCACAGCCCAGAACAGCCGCCCTGCTGAGTGGAGGTGGGTCTTCCATACAGAAGACCATAAAGCTCTGCCAGGCTGGTCTTCCATAAAGAAGACCAGCCAGGCAGAGCTGGCAGTACAGCGGCATGGGCAGCATTACCAGCCCCCTAGGCCTAGGGCCAGGTCCTGTCTCCCTCAACCCTGGCACCTAAGAGCCAAGCCCCTGGAGAAAGGGTGACCTCCAACGCACCTGCTTAGGTGGGGCAGGATCTGGCCCTGGGGTCTACAACACCTCAGCTGTCGGATCCAGCTGCTCACAACGCTGGGAGCTGTGTAAAGGTGGCAGGGCAGAGGGCAGGACACCCTGCCATCAGGGGTGCCTGGCACCCAGTGGGTGACGAAAGCAGGGGGCTGGGGGCTGGCATATTGATGCTGCGGATATGTGGGGGGGGGGCAGGCGCCATGGGGCTAGGCTCCAGCTGGGGTGGGGTTTCCCAGGCTGCTTCCTGCCGGCCTGCTCCCTAGGAAGCGGGCGGCGCTGGGGGAGGATGAGCGGCTTCCTCTGCGGCTCCCGCTCCCGATAAGAAGCCCACGTGTGTGTGCGTGTGCACGTCCAGGCGGCACTACAGCTGCTTTCACTCTCAGGCCCTGGAGCAGGGGCCTGCCGGGCTTCACACAGGGAGAAGCATCGCGTACAGGGAGGCCGGGGCGCCACAGGCCAGAACCGCAGGATGGCATCAGGGCAGGGGTCAAAGCAGCTCCCTAGCCGGGCATGAGCTGGGGCACCCACGAGCCTGGGGCTTCCTGTGCTATGCGGCATGCTAGTTGGGATGTTCCCTTGTCCTGGCACGCCTGGGTCTCCCCTCCTGGTCCTGGATGCCTGGTCCTATCGCCTCTGCCCCCAGCAGCCCTGCCCTTTCCCCTTGTCTCTGCTTGCCCTGCCTATCCCATTACCCTGTCCCTCTGCCCTCAGCCTCCCTGACCCAGCACTAGGCTGTCCCAGACCCATGGCCGGGCGACCCCGACCCCCTTTGCCTCTCACCCAGCTGAGGGCAGGGGTGAGAAATGCCCCTAGCCAGCAGGCAGAGGCCCCACGTGCCTGCAGGGGTGGAGTGCCAGCCTGGCCAGCCGGGGCACGTGGCTGCCTCATGCGAATGAGCCACGGGACGACGAGGCTGGGAGGTGCCGGAGGGGCAGGGCTGGGAGCCCTGGTGGCGTGGCCTGCAGGGCCCCAGCCTGGTTTCCTCTGCCCCCAGAGCATGCCCGCCCTCCCACCCCCACTCCAGGAGCAACCCTGGGCGTGGGGCACTCACGGTTCAGCTCCATGCTAAGGGGCCGTCTGGGCGCCACATCCTGCTCCTGGCGGCCTGCAGCTGCTCCCCTGCTCCTCGCCAGCGGCCATGGGGGACGGCTCCCAGCGGGGCCCCGAGTCCAGGCGGCCGGAGCCCCGGGCTGGCCCAGCACCGCTTCCTGTTGTGCTTCTCCAAGGAGCAGGGACGAGTGCTGGCCCGCGAGCGGCTTCCTGCTTCCAGACGCTTCCTCCCTGGCTCGCCGTGCGGGGGGCGTGCGCACAGTGGGATGCCAGAGGCACCAGCTCCCCGGCACAGGCTGGGGCCTCCAAGCACCCCGGTGCTCCCACCGCCCTCGTGAACCGGGAGCCTCCCGGCACCTTGGGCCTGACGCAGGTCTGGAGTGGCTCAGGCCAGAAAACCCCGCAGGAGATGGGGTCAGGGCTTGGGGACCGCCCTGGGAACAGCCTGCGGGGAGATGGTGCAGTGAGCCAGCGTCCCAGCCCCTGCTTCCAGCACCAGGGACCGCACAGGGCAGGTCCCAGCCCCCAGGGAAGGGTTGTAGCTACATGCTGAGATGCATCCTCCCACACACACACCCTCACGTACGTGCACACACATACCCCTCACAACCCTCCAGCATGCTCACACTGTTATATACACACGCACCCAGACACACACGGTCCCCCTCACCCACCCCCAGGACGGGGCCAGCAGCTCCATCCCTCCCCTGCTGTGTGGTGGCAGGGGCAGGAGGGTGCAGGAGCAGGCCCAGGCAGGGGGGTGGGAGGAGGCAACCGCAGGCATCCCCAGCCCTTGGCTGATGCCCCTGACATGCAGTGGCTGGTGAAGCCCCCAGACCCACGCCGCCAGGGCCTCGGCAGAGCTACCACCGCCTTCCCCCCACACACAGGCCCCCCAGCACGCAGAGGGCTGCACGCTTCATGGCCCGGTGCGTGCTCAGTCTAAACACACCTGCCACCCTGCGCCCACGCACAGCCGCAGCTGCACCCAGCTGGGCTCTGGGGGTCCTGGGTGGGGGGGAAGATGGGGCCCCAGACCTGCAGAGCTGTGCACACACACACACGGGCACACGCAGGTACGCACACAAACAGGCAGCCAGCGGTTTCCGGCAGGGGCTGGATGGGTGACAGAGCAGGCAAAAGCAAACAGGTCTCCTCTCCCGGGCCCAGCCTCCCTCCCTGCCCCCACAGCAGCCAGCCCCGCAGGCACCCACCTGGGCAGCGGCTGGGCTGCACCGGGCTCCAGGGCACCCTGCAGCCTTTGGCAGTGGAGCAGGCAGCAGGGGAGAGCCCAGCGGGTGCCTCAATCTGCGCGTCAGGGCCTGTGGCACAAGGCAGGGCACCAAGGTCAATCCCCCAAACCCTCCCTCCCCCGGCTGCCCACGCTCCGGGCCTTGCCCAATGCCGATGCATGCGGCTTCCGCCTGCTGCGGACGTGCAGGGCTGCACCTTTCCAGCCTGGCACCAGCACCGACACCGCTGGGAGCCCCGTGGCCCCTGCAGCCCAGCCCAGTTCTGTCTGTGCGGTGCCCACAGCGTGGGCACTGAGCCTGGCATCCACCCTGACCCCACTTCTGCCAGAGACTGGGAGGTGGTCACCAGTGCCCTGTGCCCATGCCCACACAGCTGCCTCTGGGCTTTGCCAACAGGGATGGCATAACCCAGGGCCTGCTCCCGGCACTGAGCTGCCCACAGCACTGATGCCCTGGGCTGCAGCTGCAACCTCCTTTGGCATCAGGGCAGCGAAGCTGGTTTGGATCCAGTGAGAAGCAGCAGGCATGGAGTGGACCCTGGCATGGGCAGGGGAGCAGCAATGCAGGGCCTGGGGGTGTTGGCATTCCCAGGTACCAGGCCCAGCAACAGCCCCGGCCCCCACCAAGCTGGAGCCAGAGGAATACCAGGGGTGGGGGCCCAGATCCTGGTGCTGGGGGGCCCCAGGGCTGCCCTGATGGGAGAGGCAGGTCCCAGCCCCAGCACCAGACTGCCAGGCTCCTAGCCCTCCCCTGACATTTTGCACTGCCTGCAGCTGCACGGAGGGGTGCTGCTCGCCTGAGGAGCTGGATGGGCAGATGGGGGCTCCCCCCCAGGTGTACCCCACGGCCTGGGAGATTCCCAGCCCCTCTCCCCGCCACTGCATTGGGTATTGCCTTCCCATTCCCCAGGGGCCCCAGCAACCCTCTGACCCTCTGGATCCATCTTGCAGAAAGGAGTCTGGGGGCAGCGCCATGGGGAGCCAGCACTATGTGGCCCTGAAACTGCAGCCCCCACAGCTCAGGCTGGCTCTTTCCATGGCTAGAGCTCCCCAAGGGCCTGCCTGGGCCATGTTTCAGCCTGGGGGTGCCCCTGGGATTGAGCCAAGCCCAGCATGCAACTCTAGGCACTGGCTGCAGGGCCCGGTGCAGGGCCTGGGGGCAGCACGTGGCAGGCAGGTGACCCACAGTTGCGGGCATAAGGGGGTGACAACACCACCTGCCTCCCTGCAGCCCCCCTGGGGCACCGGGCTGCCCTCCATGTGCATAGGCCTGAGCACACACCATGCGCGCACCCCGGAGCCTTGCATGCCAGGTCCTGGCAGGGGGTGCAAAGCTGGGAGCAGCCACTTAGCCCCAGGGTAATGGGATGAGAGGCCCTGGGCACTGCAGCCAGCTGGAGGGAGCACAGCATCTGCACAGAGCAAGGCCAGGCAGGTAGCTCTCCATGCCCTGACCTGGGATTACAGGGTGGAGAGACATGCATGGCTCCTGCAGCAGGTACTGGCTTCCCCCAGCCCAGGAGAGCCCATAGGCTCTGCCCCTGCCAGTGCTGCCACCACTGTGACCTCTTCCCCTGCATGGCACAGCTGAGAGCACAGGGCAGAGCCCAGGCACCTGCACCGTGGGGCCGCAGGGGCAGGCTGCAGTGCCAGGGTGAACCCCAGGACACTCAGTGCCCTTCCCCCTCCCCCCGGGCACATCTGGCTGTCATGCCCTGAGGCTGGGGGTGGCAGCTGCCCAGGTGCTGAAGTGACCCCCCCCTGCTTCCTCACATGGGACAAAGTGGCTGAGAATGGCCTCCTGGGGGGCCCTTAGCAGCCCGTTTGCCCAGGTGTGAATGGTAGCACTGAAGCCAGGCTGGGGGAGGGAGCCCTTCTCAGTGCAGCAGGGCAGGCCCCCTGCCCCCGCCCCGCCTCCAGGCTTCTGGGAGGAAAGGGGCCACCCACATCCTGCCCCCCCATTCAGGCCAGGATGGTAACAGGCCCTGGGGGGGGTCAGGTCCTTTGAAGCCCCATGGCCATAAAGCCCCTCATAAATGCCCTGGGTGGGGTGGGGGTGCTGCTGAGCAAACAGCTGTGTATACTCAGGGCCAGCTGTGCTGGGAGGGGCAGGGAGGGGGGATTCAGGGCAGGGGCTATGCCAAGTCCGAGGGATGAGCAGAGCCCCCCCACCCAGGTGCATATGTGAGTGGCACGGGCCTTGGTGCCAGCCTCCTTCACCACCATCACTCTCCTGCTGCTGTCCAAGGTGGGAAGTGGCCAGTGGGAGACATTTGCTGCAGCTCAGGCCATGGGCACCTCAAGGGCACTCCCAGGGTCCTTGGGCTCCAGGCCTGGGGCTGCTGGTGCTCTGGGGCGTGGGGGGTGGACCTCTGAGCTCCTGCCCTGATGAGCTGTCGCTTCCCTCCTGGTCCCACTTTGCATTTGCAAATGGCTAATAAACACCACATCCGGAGCAAACACGTCCGCCTGCACCTCATTCACGCTGCCTCGGCCCCCCTCGCCTTCCTCCCTGGGGGGCACCAGTCCTCCCACCCCCACCTCACAGCCTCCAAGGCCTTGAGACCCTCCCACCTGCCAGGGAGGCCACAGCCCGGGCACGGTGGCATCCACAGCCAGGGCAGGGCCCCGCTGCCTTCCTGCCCTCACCTTTCCTTTTGTGCAGGTATGGAGCTGGCGGAGGGACCCACAGCTCCCCTGAGCAGCTACGAGCTCCAGTGCCAAGTGGCAAGAGCCATGGGGCCTCTCCCTGCTGGCCACCCCCATGCCCTGGGCTGCCTAGGCTCAGCCCTGAAGCAGGTGCTGTCTCCAGGGAGGGAAGTGCTGCCATCCTGGTCCTGTGGTACCCAGATGGTGGGGTGCAGCAAGCACTGGCATTGCATACCCCCTCCGGGCCCTGCACACAGGGGTCCTCTTGGAAGACTCGAATGCAGTCAGGCCTGTTTCAAGGATGCTCAGACACAGGATGGGACACAGGGTCCCAGCCCAGGAAGATGGGGCTGTGGGCAGGACCCTGCTCATGCCAGCTGGTAAAGCGCATGTGGCAGGAGCATATGAGCAGGGAGCAGCAGCACGTGTACACACATGTGCATGACCGTGTACTTCGTGGGTTTTGGCTGGGAGATGTGTGTGCCTGTGCTTGTGTGCTGGGAGGCCTGTATGTGCAGGGGGAGGTTGCGGAGAGGCGTGTACATGCCTGCATCTGCAAGCCAGTGTGCACTGGGGTGTGGCATCCGTGTATCCCTACAGCAATGTGTGATCCCACCACCCCAGGCCCAGCACCCTGCCCGTGGCCCAGCAGGCAGCCCAGCCCTCAGAGCATGGGGCTGTGGCTGCCCAGGACACAGGCCCAGGGTTGGGGGGCAGGAGCCAGCCGGGTACTAAGGGGTTAAGGTGGCTGGGGGCAGGAATGCGGCTGTTCTCGCTGGGCTGTGAAGTCTGGGCACAAATATTTGCCTCCTCGTTGTGTGTGGCAGGGCTCCCCGGGGGCGCAGCTGGGAGCCAGCCCCAACAAACACCCCCCAGCCCCGGGGCGCTGGTTCCCAGGCAGCTAATCCCCACTCCAAACAGCAGCCCCCACCCCCATGGCTGTCCCAGTAGCCCAGGCTGGGGCAGAAAGGATTCCCCTGCACAAATGCACATGCAGCCGCTAGCTTTGATCCTTCCCCCCACCCCTGTGCAGCCCCCGCAGAGGAAACCTCTATGAGAAATTAGGGAGGGGGACTTGCAAGGAGGCTCTGGCCCCCAGGGGTGTAGACACACAGTGCGTTTAATCTGTGGTAACGTACCCCAAGCTTTTACTCTGGTTAGGCTTCCTTCCCATAGTCACCCCCAGGCTCTCTGTGCTGGGATAAGGGAGCAGAGGGCAACTGCCCATGGGAGCGAACACACCAGGGTAACTCAGCCCTGGACAACAGCCTTTCCTCCAATGTTAGTGTCTTCTGGACCAGCGCTGCTCCTAACACTGTGCTATCACACAGGCCCCCGGGGCTTCTGTTTACCGCCTACCCTGCAAGGTACAGCGGGGCTTGGTGCTTCTGCGCATGACCTTCCTACTTCCCCAGGATGCACCCTCATGGCCTGATCCCCATAGGTCTGGTCCCCTGTAGGGGAGCAGTGGCTGGTGTGGCTGCCTTCACAGGGGTGTCAAGGCAGATAGGCTGACATATGGGATGGAGCTACCGCTGTCCCACAGCCCGGTCTGCCAACATGGCTATGGTGTGGTATGGTGTTGTAGACAGTAAGGTAAGGGTTTTGCAGCAGGGGACACAGTCCTCTGCCTTGGATCTCTCAAGCACATCCTACCACCCCAGGCAGCAGCAGGACACAGCCAGGCCTCATCCCCTGGCTTTACCTAGGGTGGGTGCGGGGGCTCCGGGTGTCTCTGGGCAACATGCCTTGAAGCTGTGCAACAGGGTGGGCTGTGAGAGGCCAGGATCCCTGTGCACGATCCCTTTGATCGGATCGATGGAGCAGTGGGTACAGACACAGGTAGTGTTGGGGTATTGCAGGAGCCCAGGCCTCTGAAGGTGGCTCGTGTAGCCTTGGGAGGAGGTGAAACGAGGACATGTCCGGGTTGGTTTGGGCAGGGCTGATCCTGCCTCAGGCAGGGACTTGGATGTGCTAGGACCTCATGGGCCCCACCAGTCCTGTGACCCCATGGTGGGGGGACCTGGGCACCAACCTTACTGCTGAGTTTCCCTCCAAGCTGGTGTCCAAACTGCTGCTCTCTGGCCATGTGTCCCAGGTGGGTCCGTCAGCGCTTTCTTCTGAGAGCTGCTGCCTGGAGCCCCCGGCCAGCCACAGCCCCCAGGAGTGAGCACTCCCTGCCAGGGGCATAGGCACTGCTGCCCTCGCCATGCACACAGGCAGGGGGGAGTTGCCCAGTGCCTGCCTCAGGCCCCATGCAGAGAAGAGCTGGCAGGGAGTCCTACTAGGACCTGCTGGGCTAAGATGCCCCAAATCATGTCCTGGTATCAACAGGGCCCAGATGCTGCCCCCTGCAGCTGCCCAGCCTGATGGCGCATCCCCAGTGCCAGGATGGGGCAGCTGGCATCAGTGTGGCCGTGGCAACAGGGCTCCCCTCTGGACCAGTCCCAGCCCCTCACCACAGCCAGACATCCCTCCCTGGCTCCGCTCTGTGCGATGCGGCTGGGGAAGCTTGGGAGCGAGTGTGAGGAAATAATAAAAT